TGGAAGACTATAAATACTTCTATTATTTTTTCTCCCCACATGAAAAGGACTACAGGCTCCCCCAACCGCCCCACTTCCCCACTAATAAGTCTTTCTCTTCTCTCACTCTAGGACAATAGAGAAAAACTGACCACCAAGCCCACTACACTTACCCACAAGACTGAATTAATTGACTCTGGCCTGGTGGTAGTTCTACTGCTCCCATGGAGAGGTATGTGCATTGGTTTAATGGTTAGTCTGTTTCATAACACCAAAATTTCATATTCTAGGCTGTGGTGGGAAGAAAGTTAGAATCACACTTTTATGACACTCCAAATGCAGTAGTATTTCACTTTTGTTAATATTTATTTAATGTGGTTTCAAGTGGTGGTGGTAAAAAGAGATTTTAAGTGGCTGTCTCAGTTGAGATGGAATTTTGTGATTATGTAGAGTAGCAGAATGCACTGCTTATTCACCCAAGGATTTGGTCTACAAGAAGTTCAAAGACTTGGAGAGTGACTAAAACTTACAGTCCCTGCCACCAGAATATCTTCAGAGATCAAGAGTCTAAGACAAACAGAGATGGATGGCATTAAAGACACCTGACCAGAGAAGCTGGTGGGAAAGCTCATGAATCTAAGTGAATGGATCTGCTGCTTCAAAATGCACTGGTGTGTACTGTGTGATATAAAGAAGCCTACTATGTTTGATTTTTGTTTTTAGAAGTTTATCAAGTAAAGGGGGACAACACATTTTATGCTTTCTAGGATCAAGGCTGAATATGAGTCATTTTGATTGATTTCAATGATTTCAATGACCAGAAAGACTTTGGATAGAAATGTAGGTAATAAAATAGCTTACCTAGATGCAGAAAACCATTGAATCTGTATCTCCAGCCCAAATATGGCCCACAGCTGCAGACCCATATAGTCAATTGCTTCCTGGACATCTCCATTTGGATCTCACACAGGCTCTTCATAGACAACATATTCAGAACTAAGCATATCTACTTTATTGCCCTCTCTCAACTACATTTAAACTTTGTTTTCTTAATCTTCAATGATCTAAGATTACTTAAATTACCCAAAATGCATCACCTGAATTCTACTACGAGACCTCCTGAATCTCTTAGCTCTATTCTACCCAGTTTAAAAGTCTAATTCTTCCAGTGGCTTCTTTAAAAGACCGCATTTGAAAGCCTTTCCTTTTTTTTTTTTTTTTTTTTTATTTGACAGAGAGAGATCATAAGTAGGCAGAGAGGCAGGTAGAGAGAGAGGAGGAAGCAGGCTCCCCGCTGAGCAGAGAGCCCGATGCGGGGCTCGATCCCAGGACCCTGGGATCACGACCTGAGCCGAAGGCAGCGGCTTAACCCACTGAGCCACCCAGGCGCCCCCCCCCCTTTTTTTTTTAATGGCAAGAAACTATCTTTTCTGATATAAATGTAGTGATTTTCTTGTAAATTCAGTCAGTATATAAGTACAGAGAAGTAAAAATCACCTGAATCCTCACAACCAAGAGCCAGTTTTCCACTATTTAATCAATCCTCTAGTCATCTAACTAATCTCCTAATATTGGGCATATTTCATTACTAAAAACAAAACTATAGCTAATTTTCTTGACCCATATATAGATTTTTTCCCTACAATAAATTCTTTCCAAAAAGTACCAATTTAAGTTACTCCCAGAGTTTGTTGAGAATGTCTGTTGCCATCAGAATGAATACTGGTCAACTTTTAACCATCTTCAATATGACAGGCAAAAAGTACTTCATTATGCTATTTGCATATTCGACTTAACGCTAAGGCTGAACCTCTTTTCATATATGCTTACTGGGTATTTGCCTTCCTTGTTTCTGGAACTGCCTTTGTACTTCTTTCCTATCGTATGTGTATCTTTCTATTACTTATAGTTTAGAATTATTAAGTTTATTAATAAAGAATCAATTTTTTGTTTTGTTTTTTAAGATTTTATTTATTTATTTGATAGACAGAGATCACAAGTAGGCAGAGAGGCAGGCAGAGAGAGAGAAGGGGAAGCAGGCTCCCTGCTGCACAGAGAGCCTGATGCGGGGCTCGATCCCAGGACCCTGAGATCATGACCTGAGCCGAAGGCAGAGGCTTTAACCCACTGAGCCACCCAGGCGCCCCAAGAATTAATGTTTTAATTACTCTTTTTTATTTTTTTGCATCATATTACTTAGATTAAGGAACTCTGTATTTTACTTTTTAGATGTTCTTATGGACAAATCTGTTGTCTTTTACTGTACGATTATTGACATTTATGTCAAGTCCAGAAAGGTCTCTATGTATAAAAGATTACAAAAGCATTTATATATTTTATTTTTACATAGTAAGAAGGTTTCAGTTTTTAAATTTAAATCTTTAGTCACTTGGAATCTATTCTGGTATGAGGAAACAGGAAAGCGTAATGAGTATCTTCACATTACATCTTTCGTAAATTATACATCCAGTCTTCCAGGCATTGATGACTGTATTACCTTGTTTTCTTTCTCCTTTCTATCTACTGATTCCTAATTTTAAGATAATCACACATACGTTTTTTACTGTGTTCTGAGTGAAACAAAGCTCCACTTACAAAATATATCATAGAGAGAACAGTTTACCACAATATAATCAGAAAGGAAAGAGGGAATCTCCCGCTTCTTATCCTACAAACTTAAAAAAAAAATCTATTTATCTTCTTGTGCTAAAAACAGTACAGAGATAAAATGGCTGGCCATTGAGAGAATGTGTAAAATCACTACATCATAAAATATGTATCTGATATAAAAGAATCTTCATCTAACAGTGAAGCAGTCAAGTAGTCAAAATGTTATTACAAGTAATTAGATGGTTTAAAATATACATGAAATACTGAGCAGGTGTTTCCAGGGCAACAAAACACCAAGTTTCAGAGTACTTTCTACAATAATTAACTAAATCTTTTACATTTAAGTGGCACCTTCCCCATGCTTCTAAAGACTGCTACACTGGTGTGATTAAAATGTGATCAGGAAACTATAATTTAAAATATGTATCTTCATGCTAATCACTCATGGGAAAAAGAAAACAAAAGTAAAAAACTTAGTGCATTCTGGATGCTGTACTGCACTTCTGTACTAGATTATGAGAGAACAGTAACAGTAGAAGAACTGAAAAAACAAAAACAAAACACCCCTCACTTTTCAGCAGCAATAGCCCTGATACTCATGCAGTATTTATGAGTATTATAAGAGAACTGCTAATATCCCTAACATGAAGCAAAACAAGGATTGGTCATAATTATCCACAATTTCTTTCTTGTCCATTGCCCACTCCCTGCACTCCATCATGGCCTTAAGATAAATGTTACATATATCTTATGATATATGTAACATAAGATATGTTACATAATGTTAAGATAAATGTCCTACCTACATCTGTAGGCCAATTCCAGTCTGTTGGCAGTGGTCAGTGTATTGCTGTACTGAGGAGTCTAAGGCCATGTCGCAACAGCTGAAATACGCCCATGATCAAAGAGTAATAAGCACAAATATAAGTTATCTGCCATACCTATAAAATACCACTCTCCTCTGCTCCTGAAATCCTTCCATTCAGCAAGTTCAAACACATACACCCATGCACACTATACTCACTAAGTTCTATTTGGGAAAAATGGTATGGCATAATGGTTAAAAAAATTGGGTTTTAACTCTCTGGCCTAGCTTTGACTCCATGGCCAGCTACTTCCTACCTACCAGCTGTATAGGATTTCAGGCAAGTCACTTAATTTTTTCTGATTCTTGATGTCCTTATCTACAAAATGAGGAAAATAAAAGTTCCACTTTAAAGGTTTTACGGCAACTCAACCAGTAACATACGATCATGTGTCAGCAATGAGGGCTATTATCACCTCTACTAATAATAGTGTCATTTTCATGGGGCCCATTATCTTGTAGAATCCTCTTCCCTTTCCCCATCAGAAAAACAAAACAAAAAAAACCATAAAAAACGAAAAACCCACACCTATACACAAACTCAGAAAAAGCATTCCAAAGCTCAGTAATAACAATGCAGCAAACAATAAATACTAACTAGATACTAGGCTCAGATGAATGCTAGAGACACAAAGACAAATACGACAAAGCCACTGCTGTGCTGCTGCTGCATACTCCATTAGAAGAAAACCAAGTGTTATACGAAAATCTACACTCTAGTCAACATTAATGAACAAATTCTCCATAAGGAACAAGAGTAATGAAAGCAAGTAGACAGAAGAAAAGAAGAGAGCTCCAACCCACTAATGGGAGAGAGAACGTATACTTCACAGGAATTCTCCCAGGAACAAAGTGGCAGGCCTTCACGCCTGCTTCTCATAACTTGTGTGACAGTGAATTTTACATCAACTTGATTGGGCCACAGGGTATTCAGATATTTGGTTAACCTTATTTTGGTATGTCTGTGCAGGTGTTCCTGGATGAGATTAACATTTGAATCAGCAGACTGAAAAAAACAGATTGCCCTCCTCAGTGTGGGTGGGTCTTATCCAATCTGTTAAAATCCTGACTAGAACAAAAAAGGCTGAGTGAGAGAAGATTCTCTGCTTGCCTAACTGTCTTTGAGCTGGGAACAGCAGTTTTCTCTCGCCTTTGAACTCAGACTGGAACTAAACCATTGGCTCTCCTGGGTTTTCAGCTTGCTGGCCCAACCCTGCCAGCAAGGTTGTCACTTCCCAGCCTCCATAATCACATGAGCCAACTTCATACAATAAAACAATCTCTCAATCTCTCACCCTCTCTCAATACACACATATATTTATGATAGGATATAAATAATGTAATAGGGCATTTTATTCAACAGAACCAACAGGAGATACACACACACACACACACATACATACACACACTATAATATGGATGAACCTTGAAAACATCTGTGTGTATGTGTGTGTATCTCCTATCTCTGGAGAACTCAGACTAACAGAATCTGTAAGTACTGACTGAAACCCCTATTTGGTTCAATCATTTTCATGACTGGGTTCACCGCATTGCCCACCCCTGTAAAAACCCAAAAGTTAGGTTTCTGCCCTTTGGCTACAAGGTACCAAGTTTCATGATATGAAAGGCACTCTGGTTTGTAACACCTCTTTAAAAAAAAAAAAAAGGCATTTCTCCTTGATCATCTCCTAGGGCTTTTCTCTATCAGTAACACAGTGAACTAAAGAACATTAGACCGTTAAGGTCTTTGAGGGTAGGCACTCGTCAGTATTTGTGACAGTATCCAGTTTGTGCGTAACAGGAACATAAACTCAAAATGGATCAGTGATCTAAATATAAAACTGAAAACCATTAAACTCTTAGAAGAAAACATGGGGTAAATCTTCATGACACTGGATTCAGCAATGGATTCTTACACAGAATTAAAAGTATGAATAACAAAAGAAAAAACCCAGATGATTGGAAATCATCAAAATCAAACTTCTGTGCATTAAAGGGCATTACCAGAAAGGCAAAAAGACAACATTCAGAGTGGGAGAAAATATTTACAAATCATATATTGGTAAGAGTTTAGTAAGAATATATAAAGAACTCTTACAATTCAACAACAAAGAACCTAGTTAAAAAAACTGCAGAGCAGTTCAATAAACATTTCTCTAAAGAAGATATACAAATGACCAACAAACACATGAAAAGATGCTTAACATCATCAGTCATTAAGGAAATGCAAATCAAAATCACAATAACACTCATACCTACTAGGAGAACAATAATAGAAAAATGGAAAGCTGGTGAGTTTGTGGAAAAAATGGAACCCTGTACATTGCTGGTAGGAAAGGAAAAAGGTTTATCCCCTGTGGAAAATCTGGCAGTTTGGCAGTTCCTCCAAAAGCAAACAGAGAGAAGCCTGGGTGGCTCAGTTGAGCATCCATCTCTTGATTTCAGCTCTGGTCATGATCTCAGGGTCCTGGGATTGAGCCCTGGGGCAGGCTCCGCACTTGACAGGGAGTCTGCCTAAGGATTCTCTCCCTCTCCCTCTGCCCCTCTTCCTGCTCACTCATGTGTTCTCTCTCAAATCAATGAATCTTTAAAAAAAGCTAAACGATTACCACACAATCCAGCAATTCTAGGTACATACCCAAAAGAACCGAAAACAGATACTCAAATAAAGGTACACACATATTTGTAATGGCACTATTCACAGCAGCTAAAAGGTGGAAACATAACCTCCACCAACAGATGAATGGACAAACAACTGTAGCATATTCTTACAAAGGAATATTGTTTAGCTACAAAAAAAGGACTGAAGTATTGATATATGCTATAATATGGATGAAATGTGAAAACATTATTCTAAGTGAAAGAAGTCAATTACAAAAGGTCACATACTGTATGATTCTATTTATATGAAATAGAGAGAAAAGGTAAGTCCACAGACACGAGAAGTAGAGTACAGTTGCCCAGGGTTGGAGAGAGAGGGTCATGAAGAACAATTGTTTCATGGATACAGGGTTTCCTTTCGGAGTGATGAAAATGTTTTGGAACTAGATAGAGGTGGTTATTGCACAAAATTGTGAATATACTCAATGTCACTGAATTGTTCACTTTGCTTAATTTTGGAAAAAAAATGGTTAATTTTTGTTATGTAAATATCATATTAAAAAATACAGAGTGTGTGATGAGTTGAATGGTGCTTTCTCCCCTCACCTCCCCCCTGCAAACACAATGAAATCCTAATCTCAAGTACCTGTGAATGTGACCTTATTTGGAAATAGGGCCCATGCAACTGTAATCAATTTAGGATGAGGTCATTAAGGGAGTCCTAGTCTAATACAACTGATGTCCCTAAAAGAAGACAGAAGACAGACAAATACAGAAAGGTATGTGATCACAGCAGCAGAGATTGCAGTAATATATCTAAAAGCCAACTCCAACGATTAACAAAAATACTAGAAACTAAGAGAAACGTATGGAACAGAGTCTCCCTCAGAATCTCTAGAGAGAGCATGGCTCCTACTGACACATTCATCTCAGACCTCCAGTCAGAACTGTTAGAGAATAAATTTCTGTCATTTGAGGCTACCTAGTTTGTGGCAGTTTGTTATAGCAGCCCTGTGAAACTAACACACAATGCACAAGACAAGTAGCTAATAGGCTTAGAGACAGAAACAAGGATAAAGCCGGGAAAGCAACTAGATTTTGAAGAGTCCAGACAGGAAATTTAGAGTATCTCTATGGGGAGAACTGGGGGAAAAAGTGCTTAAGACAGCAACAGAAGAGTTGCAGATACTCATTTATTTATTTAACAATTATTGAACACGTATTGCCTGTAGGGTACTTTTTAATGCTCTTTGCTAATTATCATTTTATTAGACAAGGTTTACTCAAAACGCAGATAACCTCACAATTTGATATTATCACAAAGCTAGGCCACATGTGACCAACGTAACGTAACCTGAAATACAAACTCAGTGCTACTAGAGTGCAAGTCAGAGGATTATCACTGGCTAAAGTGATCTGAAATGGGATCATGGAGTCTGGACACTTAATATTTGGCAGATTTTTAAAGGGAAAGCAATGAATTCCCAGGGTAAAGAGCAGGGCCCTGTTTACAGAGGAAATATAATTAATACTTGTTAAACAAACTGAATGAGCCAGGAACAATAATTCCATAATGTAGGGTTTTTGTTAGGGATTAGTGGTATCAGCCTAGAAAATAGGTTGGAACCAAATTATATAAACAGTCTGGTCTACCCTTGAAATATGTAGCATCAAGAACAGGACTGAGCCATAAGGGGTGGAAAGGCTGGAAAACCATTTTATTCCTCCTCTAATGTCTAATCTAGTAAATGATAGTGGACCTGCGATGAAAGTCAGAACACATGAGTCATGCAGCTTTATCACCTCAATAAAGAAAGTTTATTTGGACAGATGTCTCATAGAGTTATAAAATAAGTGTATGATAACAGCCACATTTTTATTCTACCATAGGGAATTGTTAATCCAAGAAGCCACACATATTAACTTGTAAAATACAAGCAATATCTAGTGTCTTAATTTAAAAAGGAGTTTGGTTGTTAGGAAAACCAAGAATATGACTTCACTATAGATCTATGACATTAATGAATTTAACTTTAAGGTCAAATACCTTATTTTAAACCACTGATTAGAATTTTGAAATGAAACCAGGATTCTGATTTGAAATCCATTAATGGTATTTCTTCTACTTTGAAGATTAATATAAATAAAATTTGAATATGGACACCAGAAACAAAAAAATAGAATAGAGAACAGGTTACAGCTTGACGCAGGATTATATTTTATAGGACACAGAAGGGGAAGACACAAGAATGTAGAGGGAGAAACAACAGGCCTTGCTGGAATGAATTAAAAAATAAACGAATGATGTCAGGATATTACAAGTAAATCATGAAGAACAAAAGAAAGGAGTGAGAATTTGAGGGAGCACGTATAATTACCTATATGGCAGCTCTTTTATTGTCAGAGAACTGAAAAGACATTGGATCTGGTAAATCAGATATATATATATTACTTCCTCCTATTTCTAAGACCCACACCTTTCTTGTCTGACCTGATCTTAATGTGTCAAGGACGTGGGTATCCCTATCAGCTTCCCTCAAGGACCAGTAGATATAGTATACACACAATTGCCCCAAATCCTAATTCTAGTAAAGGAGTTGAATAGCACCTTTCCCAAGGCCTGGATTTAAATGGAGGTGGAGGTCCCCAAAGTGGTACCATGTGCTATTTCATGTTCTATATATCTGCTGTTGACTATAACATAGTTATAGGCACAGAAATGAATAGAAAGGAAATGTTCTTGAACTACAGAAGAGGCAGCCATACAGAAGGAACCAGAAATGTGCTATGTGTTACCACTAGGTTCATGAAACTTTCTTCATAGCAAAAAACACGCTGAATTTTATAGCAAAAGGGACCCCAAACCTTCCCAAACTGTGGCTCAGAGCTCTAGGGAAAGCCATCAAGGAAGCATTTCCCCTTTGTACCTTTACAATGCTTTTAACCTTTGTAGAACATTTCTACATGTATGAGCTAAGTGATTTCTATACAACTTTCTATCTTTATTTTAAAGATGAGAAAATTGAGGTCACCAAGGCTAAGTGACCTGACCAGGATCAGACTATCATCATTTTGGGAGAACCACAGGGAACATCCGCTTCTAGTCTAAGGCTTACTACCAACCACACTACTTTCCTATTCTATTTAACAATGAAATTTATTTGAAACTGCCTAAAAACGTATCCTTACTCGTTTATTAAATGGGTTCAAATAATGTATAAACAAAAGAAGACAACGTGTACACAGTCAGGATTTTAAGTGGCATTAATTTGCTATAGACTTTGTTCCATCATTCATTCAACAAATCTTTATTAAGGGTCAGCAATGTTCCAGGCACAGATAAGTACTGGGAATACAAAATCAAATAAGATATAATCATTATCTCCAAAAATTCACCTTGGATTGCCAGTTCTCCAGAAATGCATTTTGTCTGAAGTCCAAAGTGCCTGCCGTCAAAATCAAATTTACTGCTGCCAAATAGGCAGATATCAAAACAAATTAAAAAGAATCTGTCCTATGTTGCAGTAATAAGATATCAAGATTTTTTAAAACAATGCGCATTCAGAGACTGCTTTCCAAGTAAATATCCAGGTGAACTATATCAATCACTATAAAATAGTTGGCCAAAATGATTTCACAGTAGAGGCCAAACGATTATTATCTAAAAAGAAAGGTAGTATTTACAAATGGAGAAAGGGCAAGAGAGAGAGAGATCTAGAGGCTTTAAAAACTACTTTTGCAGTGACTCCCAACTTCAAAAGCAGCTTCAACAGTTTTCCTACTTGGTTTCAAATCTATATTGTATCCAGAGACTTGAGAGTAAACTTTGCTTCTATGGCAGACAAAGAGCACACTAGAAATAGCAAAAATTAAAAAAAAAAGAAAGAAAGAAAGAAAGAAACTGAAAAGCCAACTCCTTGAAGTATGGTAAAATTACAGAATTACAAACAGGACAAATT